AGGCAAATAAACGCTTATTTGCACACTAATTGCACCTGCGACGTGCTTTGTTATTATAAAATTTTATATTTACACTGCGAGTGGCTCGTTCCTTCTTTGTCTTTCTACGTCTACTTCAATGTAGATGTGTGTGTGTGTACACTCACAAAAATATTCGCTTCTAAGTTGAAAGTCTCCCCAAAAAATAGAAAGACTTCATAACTTATTGAAATATTTTCTATATCCAGAAAAAAGTATCATACGGATTGCCCATAGTCGACAATCCCAAAGATATTTTGATTTTGTCTAATTTTTAGAAATATTTTATATTTTTAAGTAGAAATGATAGCCCTTATTTTTAGAAAAAAAAATCAAAATAAAAACCAAAAAGATGGCGATTTTCTAAAACGTGGGTCAATTTTTTTATGAGTGTGTGTGTGTGTGTATATGTGTTTGTGTGTGCAACGCTTTTGTCACAATATTTTCAATGGAGTGCCTTATGTCTTATAGCCGCTTGTTAGTGCTGCATGGATACTATGTTGAATTCTTTATGGTCTGCCAACATGGCGTATGATTAACCATGCAGATGTTGTTTTCGTACTGCGGTCGCTGCATGTTTGGGACTTAATGAATATGCAAAGCTTTTGGCTTATGCTCAACACTCATTCAACTGATTTGCAGGACGAAGCGCATCCTTGACACCATGCTATTTTGCATGTGTATGTAAATTGAACATCAGAAGGCTTTTATCGCTAATTGCATACAGTTCTCGCTTTTGAGTTCATCGCTTTTACTGTTGTACACACTTTCACTTGCCACCAATTCCCCGGGGTGTGACTAAAGCCGCGTGCGGCGTGTGACGTTTTTAATAGCATTAATTAGTTAATTAAAGTGCGTCCCCCTCAATTGGCCAGCTCCCTCTGTTTGACGGTTTTTCGATGTTAATTTAGCCTTCAATTTTCGGAGCTCTAACTACACTCAGCAAAAAAATCGGCCTTATTAAGTAGCCATACTTTTGCCTCCAATGGTTGCTCACCAAATTATGCAGAACTTAAGCTTTTTAAATTTATGACTGTGGCTTTCTAAGAACTAGGGTTACAAAATTTCAGAATGAATTTTTCTTAAATTTAAAAAAATATGTTTCATTTTCAGGGTGATTCTTTATATGTGTGTATAGTAATCACTGCAGAAGAAAATTCTTGTATTAGCTTTATTTGTATTTTATGATTTCACATATACAAACATTTTACACAGCTTATATATTAATATTAATTAATTGGAAAGAATCTTCCTCTGTAGTGTACCAAAGATAAGCTCAAATATGAAAGCAAGCCAGTAAACTTCATTACTTATTTCTGTATTTTAGAAAAAAAGTTTTTTAAAATTGAGGATTTGCCTTTCTATTTTTTAGAAATCAACAAAATAATTCGAAAAAATTAAAAAATCAACATATTTTTGGGATTATTGATTTAGGGCAAGCCTATTACAAAAATACCTTTATTTTGGGCGAATTACTAAAATTTTTGCTGAGTGTATACCATTGCATACTTATGGGCGTAGCGATTAGGCAAACTTTTGTCATTTTGTGCATTTGATCAGCTTAAATATTTGAGTAGCGACGAGTTGAATTTTTGTGCTACGTTTGTGGCATCTTTCCTCTCTTCCTTCCTTCTTCCCACTCTAGGGACTTACGTGTGTCCAAATGCAATGCAAATGTCCAGCTGCTGGCGGAGTCAGGTCGCAGCTGAATCTCAAGTAGTTCGCCAACTACTGGATCGAGTAAACAGCGATGCGGCAAGGCAAGCAAACCAAGAGCAAAATGAGGAAGATGCTGCTCGAGAAAACTTTTCACTAGAATCTCCGAGTCTGAGACTCCGTCCGTGCTGAGGCTTTTGTTGTATGCGCTCAACTTAAAACAAGTTTTTTCAAGTCCCGAAATCAAAGGAGCTGCATTCAAGCTTCGAGTTCACCGCATAAAATGCCATTAAAGGCTTACGTTGACGAAATCAAACGATGAATTTTACACAACTCACTTTCAATCGTAATTGAAAACAATATACCAAAAAGAAAAGAAAGAATTAAAAACGTCGTCTAGTCAAATAACTATACGGTTTAAAGTTTATTTTGCTAAAAATGTTTTGGGCATTATTTGTTGTGCATTCAGGTGCAATTATTTGCACTCAGTTGCGTTTTCCTTTGAACTGCGTCAACGGTGCGCAATTAAAAAACAATTTGTAGAGCATAAAGCGAAGGACCTCATCGCCCAAGCTACAAAAGAGAGCTGTGGAGAGCGGCAGCCCTTTTGTAACTGAGGCAAATGAAATCCACAAACAAAGCGCACAATGACACAAAATGCGGAGGAGCCAGAAGTGGGAGCACACAAAAAGCCGGTGTGCCAGTGTGGCATGCAACAAAAAAAAATATATATATATCAAGAATGCTACAGTCGGGCTTGCTCGACTGGGGGATACCCTGAAACCAAATCTTCAAGCCGTTTAATTACTTGAATACCTGATTTTGACTAAGGCGTTTTCTCTGGCTGATTAGAAAGTTATATCATTAAATTTGTGGTTTTCGGTAATCAATGTTTATCAATGTGCACAAGATGGAAGAAGATATCGGTAAAGTAAAATAAACTTGATCTGAGCTTGGTATACGTAAACTTACGTAGATAAAATGGATAAAAATATATATATCTTGTTTATTTGTACACCGAATCGGCGGTTTATGCTGATCAAGAATAAAAATACCATATGAAATTGGAGGTGTTTGCTGCAAATTGAGCAATAAAAAAATGTATCTAGCCTTGAAGATTACATTGATTCGGTCGATTATACTTAATTTTAAAATGTTTGTGATTAAATCAATTTCTATGCTTTATTTTGGATTTCTCAATTACTAAGATAAATATGATAATTATTAAAGAGACCATTTGCTTTATCGACCAATTTTACTTTCTTCAGATTATAGATATTATAATAATAGTAATTTAAAGATAAACTCTACTTTTTGAATGGACATTTATTTACTTTATTTTGCATATCTGTATTACTAAGATAATCAAGATAATCGTTAAAGAGACCATCTGCTTTGTTATTAATGGCCTATTTTGTTTTCTTCATATTATAGATATAATAATAATAATAATTTAAAGAGAAATTCTACTGGTCTTAGGGTTTAGATATCTTTTTTATTTACATAAACTTACAAATAATAGCTAGGTAGATAAATATATCAGAATCAAATGAGCTTTGGGGAAGTTCAATAATATTAGGTCACAAGTGTGACATGATTCCCACAAAGTGTAGGTTTTGGTTATTCGATTGAATTTGGCTGGGGCCAAAACAATTAACTGGTGCAGCAGACAAATTTTACCATTGGCCTGGAGGCTCGTTTGCAATTTGTAAACAGTTTGATGACAAGGGTGTTTTTATCAATCAATTTCTTTTCACACATGCGATTGTTATTGTTTATTGTTTTTTCCGGCTTTCGGGCTGAGTTTGTGCGTCCAGCATTTTCGGTACTTTGTTAACATTTGCGTTGTGCTGTTTTCTCACGTGCTACCTACGCTGCCAATGCAAATTCAGTTGGTCTGTGCAAGCACATTGTTTATTTATTTGGTTGCACGTGCGAAGCTCTCTCTCTCAATTGCTTGCGTTATGAAGCAAAACATTTTATTGCCACCATAGGGACACATGTATCCATTTCAGTGCAAACATACGTACATTATTTGTATATATTAATTACAATTGTTGTTTTTATTGGCAAGCACAATTTGCACCTATTTCATTTTTATAAAGCTGGCATGTCGTATACGTTATTTAACAGTTGTCCTGTTAACGTGAGCTGCGATTGGCGATGGCAAAGCTACGACTCCGCTGTTAACAGTTATCAGATAAGATCACTTTGCATCTCATTAGAATTTAATGAAGAGTTCGTGTTATAGTATTAGCTATAACAAAAAATCACAACAAAGTCGCACATTTTTTTCCGGTTTCAACTGGTGTCTTATGTGAGTGTTTATTTACACTTGAAATTTTGTCAAGCGCTATTTAATTTACACTTGCCAATGCAAATTGGGCTGACATGTTGCGGTTTTCAAAAATGTATCTTCTGAAAATAAGAAATGCGTGTTCTGTGTGCCACGTGGCATCAGTGTGGATTCAAGTCTATTGGCTATTTTTGTAAAAAATGTATTAATACTACATATTATCAGCTGTATGTATGTGAAAAATTTTTTAGAGGGGTGATATACAAGTAAACTCAAGCAAAAAAAAGACCTGTTTTGTATATGCCAATCAGTTACGCATATTAAAAATGTGCATTTAAAAGACATTCCTGTTGTTTTTTAATGAAGCCAGATATATTGATTTATATAACAATAAATTATTCAAATATTATCACTTTCGTTTCCAAAATGTAAATAGCACTCGCATTTATCAACGAAAAGTTTTTCGCTTTTATCTCACAGGTGATGAATTTCTATATATAACTTTAAGTTTTTATTTATATGTGTGTTTGCAAAGATTATTGCTTTTAATCAGTATCTAAAGCAATTTTTTTTGTCATTTAAAAATTTAAAAATTGCCTGAAAGAATTTCACATAAAACAAAACCGAAATCTTGGCAAATTGAAAAAGCTGCTAAAAATTCCGATTTAGTATCTTTATTGTGTGCACCTCATGTGCCTAATCAGGCGATAAGCTTTATGTCGATTACCATCACAATTACTCCTCAAAGAGCAAATTGCCCAGCGCACACACACATATAATATATGTGATTAGTTTTTTTCACTCAAGGTTTGAATCCCAGTTGCCTTCTGCGCTGCCTCTGTCGCTGTCTCTGCCTCTGTCTCTGCCTCTCCTCTGCAGCTGTATCTGCGCCTCCTCTGCCACTGGGTTGCCTTAATTGAAGTTAACTGAACGCACGATCAACGGCGCCGAGCTCAGCGTGTTAATCGAGAGCGCAGCTCAGCCGATCGCGTTTTGCTCGACGTCGGCAGCAAAGTTGCAATATTAGTGCGCTGCGAGCAACCGGCGGCTAAGCACCTGGCCACGCATCTAACAGTCGCATCCAATAACAGTCGAGATACAAAGATACAAGAGGGAGAGTTTGAAGACCCTTAACAAAGTTTCTTGGTGTGTTCAAATTTTGTGGTTTACTTAAAAAATATGCTCGTTTGTGTCGTGTGTGTTTGGTGTGTTTGTAAATGTAACTGTGTGCAATATTTAAAAAGTTGAGCGAATTAGTTAAGCTGCTGTACTTCGAGAGTTACTTTACTATTTGCACAACTGTAGCTTTGATGTTTTGTCGTTTAAATAAACAGTCTGTTATTTTTATTGAGAAATATGAAATTCTTTAGACTAAGTGCAAATTCATTCAGCTGTTGCAAATGTCTTATTTTGTAATTGCTATGGTGAATTATTTGTTGTCACACATGCAACTGTTTTCGTTCTCGATAAATTCCCGTTGACCGTTAAAAAATGCTGTTAAAAAACGCTCACATTAATTTAGAAATATATTGCTGCTTCATAAATGTCAAAAGTTTTGCTCAAGTACATTTTAAGGGACAATATTTAAGTTTTTCAATATAGTTCACATTTGCTTTGATATGAACTTACATACTTTGCTCATTGATTTAATGTAGATTAAAAAAAATCAATAGATTCAATAAAAAATGTTAAGAACAACAGATTATAATTACAGAAGGAAATGGCTATTTTGAGAAGCAATACAGAAATGTTATGCTTATAAAATTGCCTGACTAACTCCATTTCATACTGCTATGGCCTTTCCTATTTTTTTTTTAAAGTTGACGTTAATCTGCCAAAACACAAATTACATTTAATTGCTTTGAATTCAGATAAGTATGAGCTAATATTAATTTAATCGCTATCTAGCCACGTTTGCGATAACCCATTAACCACTTTCGTTAAATGTAAACAATGTTGTTACCATTCATTATTAATATTGTCGCATAAGCTGAAATTTGATTATTTGATGTTGTACCGATAAGCAGTGCTTCTTATCAGTAGCTCATTGCAATTATTTGAATTTGTTTTGAATTGCTGAGAACAACTGCGATTTTTGTTAGTTATATGTGAGATAAATTTCGACCTGGCAATTTTCTTAGAATAGATAAATTTGATGTTTGCTTTGCAAATATTTTTGTATATCTTAATAAATTTAATATTTGAAAAGTGTCATAAAATTTCAGCAATTAGGCACATTGTAAGCTCAACAACAAGCAGTAAAAAACAATGACCCCTCGACGTACATTTGAGTGTGTTTGTCTGATTTTTATTATTTGAGACTATAACAAACCTGAAATCTGGCATCATCATATCTTAACATATCTTTATTAGCAAAAAGCAATTCTAAAAATAAAATTTACTCTTTACGCTCTGACACACACGTGCACATAAGTGAACAATTTTAAATCACGTATCTGGAGACTGTGTACTGGCTATTTGGTAGAAATTCATGCATAACGACAAACGAATTAAGTGAAAGTCCCCCCCAAACCGGTATTGGGTTCACTTACAGACGCATTTAAGTATTTATCGTTGTGTGTTCTATTATATGCTACAATGTGCATTTCGCGTGCCACAAGTGGCACAATTTGCAAAAGTATTTGCTTAATAAGTTAAATGAATAATTGAGTTACGTGGCGTTGTGTCGTCCAATTGTCTGGCAGCGTTGTCGATAAGGCGAGACAATTGTTTAAAGCAAAGCAAGTTTTTGGAGATTTCCGTGTATATCCGGATTAAGATGCCCGGAGCAAATCAAATGAATGCTGCCCCATGGCTAGAGAGTTGTATGTCAATGCCAATGGCCGTGGCAATTGTGCCCAGCACGCAACAATAAATTGCTGTAGATTTGTTGATTTTTTTTATTAATAGCTGGGCGCGAACAAAGAAATAGAAAATTGCACATTTATGACACGCGTCCGTGTTTTGTGTGCAATTTTTCTATTGAACTTGCTCTCCAGATGAGTTCGTCTCCTCTCCTCTCCACTTTAATTTAATTTGATTTTAATCCAATGCCAGCACGCACAGTGCCACAGTGATTGCTGCTTATTTAGTATTTGTATTTAAATTGCTTACTTGCCTTCGTTTTTATTTTGTGTTTATCCAATTTATTTGCAGGCATTAATGACTAAATAGATTCATCATACACCTCATAAACAAATACGCAAAATGACGGACCTGGAGTCAACGAAAATCGACAAACACAATGGCCATCAGCCGCACCACAACAAGTAAGTGAGAATTAGTTGTGTGACTACCTCAACTTGATGCAAAAACTAGCCACACACGTGTAGAAAAATACAAATCATAAATTGGTTCCGTATTTTTCAAAGCTTAAGCAATGAATCACAGCAATGTAAACCACTAATATTATTTTTCGCTGTATCGTTGCAAAGGCATATTAAAGTATTTCTGAGTGGGATATATATGTACACCCAGGAAAAAAAACTCGCCCTGAATTTGTGGTTGTGGCTTTCTAAAAGCCTGAGTTTGCATTTCATATTTAAAGCTTCGATTTTTCTTAAATTTAAAAAAATAAATCCATTATGCATGTATACAAACCGTTCTTATTTCAATCAATTTTTATTTATTTTTTTTTTTTTTAAATTATTTCCAAAAATAAGAATAACTTTATAGTTTTCACGGCGATTTTCGACATTTCGTGGCGATTTTTTTCTCAGTGCAATCAGCAGACAAATATGTAAAATAAACGCTAGCTGCAACTCCAGCGGCCAAATGACCCGCACCAAAGAAACCAGTTGCTAGCAGTTGAAAACCGGTTCCTGATTATTGGCAACTGCAGACAGAAAAAAAAAAAATAATAAATAAAAATAATAATAAATGTTGTATAAAAAAATAAACAGCCACAGCAATTAATTTGTGGCCAGAGAAAGAGCTGTTGCCACTGACTAATTTTGCATCGTTATCGGCCCTGATTAACTGTGTAACAACCATATAACGATATGTATTCTTTTCTTCTTTTGTTTTGGCCACAGCAATGAGATTGTTGAGAGCGAACCACTCACATGGAGATTCTGGCGCAAACAGCGCTATATTGTGGTGCTGTTGGCATTCTTTGGATTCTTCAATGTTTACTCGCTACGTGTGAATCTGTCTGTGGCCATTGTGGCGATGACTGAGAATCGCACGGTTGTCGATGGCGATGGCAACGTGTCCTACGACCAAGACTTTCCCTGGGACTCCAAGCAGAAGGGCTTGATCCTGAGCTCATTTTTCTATGGCTACATTTTCACACAGTTCCTCGGCGGTTACATTGGCACCAAAGTTGGCGGCAATCTCGTAAGTTGCAATTAACATTATTATACCATACCATGAACCCATTAATAATTGGTGAATATAATTGCGTGCAAAAGTGACGTAACAGGCAGAATACAGCATCTCCGACCCCATAAGGTCTATATATTCTTGATTTGTCCGTCTGTATGAGCACGCAGATTTCATAAACTATAACAGCTAGAGGCTTCAAATTTTGAATATAAGTTCTTGTATAAGTTCTTGTAAAGATGTATAAAGTGAAATTTAGTAAAACAACTAGAATATTCTAAATAAATAAATATATATTTAGCAGCTGTATACAGGTTACTATGTTTGTCATTTTAAAGCAATTTAATTTAATTTTTTTAGCGAACAATTTTTTTAAATATTAAATTTTAACTTGCAGGTTTTTGGCCTAGGCATTGGTACGACTGCTATCCTAACACTTTTGACGCCCTTGGCTGCCAAACATAGTTTGGAAATGTTCCTTGCAGTGCGTATTATTGAGGGCGTATTTGAGGGCGTCACATTTCCGGGCATTCATGCCGTGTGGGCGAGGTGGTCGCCGCCCTTAGAGCGGTCTCGCATGGCATCGATTGCCTTTGCCGGGAATTATGCTGGCACGGTGGTAGCGATGCCATCGTCTGGCTTGCTCGCAGCCCGCTACGGATGGGAGAGCGTATTCTATGTGTTCGGCACGATTGGTGTGATCTGGCTGATAATCTGGCTGCTGTTTGTCCGCGCCGGGCCGGAATTGGATCGCTTCTGCTCGAAGGAGGAGTGCGAGTACATACATAAAACGATTGGCTATACGGGTTCAAACACCAATATCAAGCACCCGTGGAAGGCCATATTCACCTCAATGGCCTTTTATGCAATTATTGCATCGCATTTCTCGGAGAACTGGGGCTTCTATACGCTGCTTACACAGCTACCCAGTTTTCTTAAGGGTAAGTTCTTAACTACACTCAGAAAAGAAATTGTCTTAACGCTTAATAAATCGCCATACTTTTGATGCCAATGGTTAGTCACCCTGTTATTCAGAAATTGAATTTGAATAAACTTTGGTTGGCATTTCTAAATTTCAGAATTGATTTTTATACAGTTTAGAATTTTTTTTTTAAATTTGTAACGTCAATGTATGCACAACATTGATTATAAGTTTTTGTTTTGCTTATATTATTATTAAAGATTAATACTTTTAGACCTTATATATACACAAGCATATGACATATGCCGAACTTTGAACGACTTTGCCAAAAACCTACCAACCAAATTGGGTGAATTTAGCCTTAAAATTGTGGGAGATATGTGGCTTTATCGATTTGCAAATATCGATTTTATCGATTGCGTAGCCCCTAGACCAATATGCTATGACACCTTCGGTATCAAAGTATATAAGAAATCAACCTCTATCAAAAATGATATATAAATTTTGATACAATATTTATTTTTGAATATTAGAATGGATTTTTTCTAGGGTTTACATTTTTGCGTTTTAGAAAGGTTTTTGCTAATAATATATACTATTTCTAAGAAGTAGAAAAAGATGATTTGGGGCTAGCCTTCTAAATTTTAGAATGAAAAAATACGTAATTTTTTTGATTGATTTATTAAATGTAGTGCGATCTTTTTCTGAGAGTATTAGCCAATAAAGGAATTACTACTAATTATTTTCTCACTACAGATACGCTTAACTTTGATCTGGGAAAAACTGGTTTCCTGTCAGCTGTGCCGTACATGGCGATGGGTATATTGTTGGCCGTATCCGGTTACCTGGCCGATTGGATGCAAGTGAAGGGCATTTGGACAACGACACAAGTGCGTCGTAATTTCAACTGTGGCGCTTTTCTGGCTCAAACTGTGTTCATGATGCTCACCGCTTACATTATGGATCCCACTTGGTCCGTCGTATTCATAACAATTGCTGTGGGCCTGGGAGCATTTGCGTGGTCAGGATTCGCGTAAGTTGCAACATATTGCATCCCTTACAGATGGCAGAGGTCTGAATTCTTGTAACACACTTGCAGAGTCAATCATCTGGATATTGCACCGCAGCATGCAAGTGTCCTGATGGGTATTGGCAACACTTTTGCCACAATTCCCGGCATTGTCAGTCCGCTGCTGACTGGTTATATTGTGGGCGATAGCGGGGATCGACATGAATGGCGTTTGGTCTTCTTTATATCGGCTGGCATTTATCTCATTGGCTGCGTCGTCTATTGGTTCTATGCCTCCGGCGAGCTTCAGGAGTGGGCCAAGTCGCCAGAGCAAAAAGCAGCGGAGGCCGAGGAGAAACTCCAATTGCAACTGACACAGCGAGCCGGATTTGTGAATACGGCGGCCGACCTAAAGGATTAAAAGGGACTAAATGGCACCATGAGCAAATTTCTGTTCAAACTGTTCAACGACCGAAACAACAGCAACCAAATACCAGAGACACATTTTAGTTTAGCTTATACTCGTATTCCATTCACAGTACCTTATTGTACCTTAGCCCATTGACTATTTGTGCTGTTTTTTTGCACTCTCAGCGAGTGCAGTTCAGAATAAACAAAGTTTCTTTTATTCAATTTACGATGTTGATTTTGATTTTGATTTCTTTTTGTGTCGTGGAGGATACAAGTTAAATTCTGTGCTAATTGTTTTCCTTACGAAAGAAGTTTTGAGTTTTATTAAAATTGGGTTTGTCTGTTTGATCCATAAATTATTTCTCTTTTTGGTATTTCTACATATTTTCCTAACCTAAATTGAGTATAATTTATGTTTTATTGAAGAGTGTGTCTGCTTAAACTATATCTAATAACATAGGTTTATTTCTTCCGTTAATATTGATTTTTTTGTGTTGTGGGTATACAAATTCGAATTTCGTCTTCTTATATTCATTACGGAAGCAGTTCCTAGTTTATTTTTTAAAAAATAGTATGTTTCTATTTGAAATATAGAAGATTCCAAACATATTATCTATTTCTATAGTTAACCCTAATAGTATGTCATAGAATTAGTCTAAGTGCTTTCGCTGAGCATTCAAATGACAGGCATAAAGTCTGCAACAATATATTAGCAAAGCGTTGAAATGCTCGATTCAATATCTTTTGAATTATTTTGTACATTAAATACAATATTTGTTTAGTTGGCATTAGCATTTTAAAAAGTGCTTTGAGCATTTTACACTTGACTGCAACTTTCTGCACACGCACGCTGTTTAATTGATTGAAGTTTTATTTGTTTGGCGATTTCACGCGATTCGAACGGAGTCGTTGAGTAACTCAATGACAGTTTTCCAGTTTTCCCTTAAATGGCAAAGTTCATAGTGTACTTACATATATTCGAACATATAAATATTTAATTACGAATGTCCTTGCATCAATCTGTTTTATGCCAACACCCTCGCCTATTATTTGAATTGTGAGTGCACACTCGGAATAAAATGTTATTGACTTTGTGAAAATAGGAATCATATACATATATTATAATAAAGTAATAAAATAAAAACTGGAAAGCTCTTTTTAGAAATAATTTCTAATTAGAAGAAAATAAATTTCAAAAAATTACAAAGGCTTGCCTTAAATCGTCTCTCTAAAATGTGGTTATATTTCTTTATATAGAAATAAAAAAATGTGTGTATATGTGAGTTCTTAACATACAAATTATTATTATTAATATGGGCAACAAAAACGCTCATGTTAGAGTGTGCTGGAACACTTATGAAAAAGCACCCTGAAAAATTCGATTAAAATTTAGAAATCAAATTGAGAGAAAACAATCCCTTGTTTTAAAAAATGTATTTTCTTTAATAATAATGTTACCTTTGACGATAAACAATTTCTAAAAAGCAAGTCAATTTTTTTCTTGACGATAAATAATTTCTAAAAAGCAAGCACTTTTTTTCTGAGTGCAACATATAAGAGATAAGCTGATAAGAGCGCCGTGTGCAGCACGGCCAATCAAATTGGATTCGAATGCTCGCAAAAATTTGTTTGTAAAATGCTAACAATTGATAGGCGCATTTTGCGCACGAACTGCTGATAAGCTTGATAAGGCCCTTAGCTGCGTTCTTTGTTCAGTTGTTTTGCACTCATCTTTACATTTGGAATTACTATAAATATATTATTTGTGTGCTCTCATGGCATCAACAGTTATGTGCAGCAAGTAAAAGGCTTTGCAACAATTAAACAATTTCAGTTTGGCTCGCAAATAGACAAAGAACCTATATATATATCCTAGCATAATGGGCTGCAAACGTTGTGAAAAAAGTGAGTGTTATTTCGAAATTGAATTGCTAACAATTATAAATTTAAAATAATGTATGTGTGCAAGATTGCCAGTGCTCGGGGCAAAAATGCGGCAACAATTGTGGCTGCCACAAGGATTGCAACTGTGTCTGCAAGAATGGACCCAAGGAGCAGTGTTGCAGCACAAAATAATTAAAATGAAGCAAATATTGTTAACTTGAATTCGTTTGTTGTTGTCAATTTGATTATGCAATATGCAAGCAATTAAAATTTGATATATATCAAAATACGTATCAGGTTGTATTTTTTTCTACACAATTAGTGGCTGTTTTGGGAGTTGTAAGTTGAATCAAAAAGTAAGGGCAAATAATAAATAAGAAAAGGAAAGAACGACTACCTTAGCTGGAGCGAAAATTACATGCCCTTGTATACCAGACTTAATCTATTGACATATAAGTTCATTTAAATTTTATAGATTAGTTGGCATATTGGAATTTCTCAATATTTGTAATTGGCAAGTCAGTACGAATGCCAAAATGTACAAAAATATATTTATAAATAGGTAGAAATAATACGTGAAAGTTAAGATTGTCATCTTTTCAGGATATGCATTTCAGACGATATAAAATGATTGCTCTTTACTGTAAATCGCAGCATAGAAAAGCAATTCTGTTAAGTGCCGCAGATTTTATATTTTGATTATATTTTGCCATAAACATTTGCATTTATTTTGTAGTCGAACAATTTCGAAAATTTATGTGCCTAACATAAGAAGGTCCCAGAATTGGTAATAAAATGAGGGGACACTTGTACAAGCTTTGACACCTGAAGGACATGCCATACTTCTGCATCCGTTTCCGCTCTCCAAGATGTCAAAATATTTATGAGCTAGCCTGGTCAGCAATAACAACAAAAATAAGAACAATGAGTAAATCATTAGCATAATCAAAATGTGCGTGTTTTGCGTTTGGAGTTGCGTCAGTTGCGTGTCGCAATCGTTTTGCTAGCATTTTTTTTCCGACCTACCCGGGAAGGTTTTTATTGGAGCTTCTGCTGCTGCTGCTGTGTTTTTGGTAAATCAGGTGTAAATGATTAGGTATTCAGGTATTTTGAACTGAGCACAAGCTAATCGAATTATGGCGTGCGTTGAATTCTCACTCAAAAAAAAAAAAAATAAAAATACATTATCGAAAATATGAAACTTAGTATTAATATTAGAACTGATTATTGATAAAAAAAATGAATAAATTACCGGCATATCCGATTAGTGCCTGCGAACGGGGGATTGACGATAATAGTTTGCCTCCAGGTGAGTCTCCCTAATCGCATCGCACCCAACTTAAGTCAATTTATTTTCAGAAAACCTGGCACATTCTGTCTCCACACTCTACGTCATAAAAGCTGCAATCTGTATTGTTATGTTTAACGTGTGCTTATCGTCTTTTGGCTATATCTGTTATAAATTTGTCAACGATTTACAAGATGAGCAACGTATTCAGGTAACCGATGGCCTTTGTTGTCTCGCTGGCATGACGGTTATTGTATGGCTAATTCGCTGTGGAGTATGTAATAATAATTTAGACGACTTGCAGTAGTATATATTATATTTCCAACAGGACTTGTCCAAGAATAATTCAAACCTCTACTACATTTGACTTATTAGTCGGATTCTAATTATTTGCTTGTAAAGTATGAGTAAATGAATTATATTAAATTCTCAGCTTGGCAGCTCATTTAACCAGTTAACATTTAAACCATGAGTATTATTATTATTTTTTTTTTTTACATTTATATTGTGAAGTTTAAGTACATTGAGGTGCTTATAATTTAACAAGTTTATTTTCATAGCGTGTTCTAGATTTTTAGTGCATTTTTGCAAAAGGTTACTAGCAGTTTTCAAAATAATTTTTCTTATACGAATATACGACATTTTTGAAAACAGGTCGAACTTTCTGGGTTTCGCTATGCTAACCAGTTAGATGGGGCCCAGTCAAGTGGCCAAGAGTCACGCAAGGATTAATTCCTGGTGGAATGTGCTAGTTTTCAATAGGTCGATGACGTCAAGTTGCTTTTCGTATTCAATTTTTCTTTTTTTTTTTTTTAGTGACAGTTTATTTTGCAGTAGATTCTCATTTTGTTTATAATATAGGTAGTCCAAAATTCGAAATGTCTCGTTGCCCGATGATATTTTGGAGGCGTGGTCAGTTCAATGGCAGCTTGATTTGATTAAAGTGCTGATCCAGACGCAAAAGGAGAAAATATCCCTCGCCGAGGCAACACGCAAAATAATACGAGAACAGGTCATATTGGCGCTGTACGATGGCATCTCTGCATCACTATTACGTCAGTACACTTATACGTTAAACCGTTTTGGATTTTATACGGCTGGTGTTAAAATCGTGGACACGACCACGATGACCAACAAGATGTTACTCGTCGCATTTGGGGGCGGAATAGGAGGTCTTGTGGGTGCACCGGCTGATTTGCTCAATGTGCGGCTGCAGAATGATGTGAAATTTCCGCCCAAAAAGCGAAGAAAGTAGATATTAGCTTTTAGAATAGTTTAGGTTTGGGATCACTACATATATATATACGTACATTTTTGTATCGGTTATATCGGCGATTACGGCAACGGCACTTACCCTGCCCATCGATGTGGCCAAAACGTGTCGCATGAACGCATGTCCCGGTGAATACTCCTGCATGGTAGATGTATTCTTCAAGACTGCACTGGAGGGACCAATGGCATTTTTTACTTTGCTTCATTATTGTGTTGCGGTGTTTAGTTGCCATATGCGGTATGTGCCTTATTTTCCTTTCTGTTTGGGGGTTTGGGGCATCGTCGTGGCGTGAAACTTGTGTCGTGACGCCATTGTCTCCTTAAACGTGAGGACAACTGTCAGCTGATTATTTGTATTTGATTTGTCTGTTGCACAAATAAACAGAACACTTTTACGCGACTCAGTTAAGAGAATCCAATCTGAACGTGAATTTGAAATAATTAGAGTGTTTATTTTGCTTATTTTGCCTTATTTTTAAAAACATCTTTTGAGATGCACAATATTCATGGATATTTCCCAAGGGCAATATATATATAATTATATATATATATATATTTATTTATATATTTATGTATATTTATCTATTATTTGTAGCACTGTGTATTTTTTGGCCATTAATATGTGAAATCGAAGGATTTCTGTGGCATTGCTAAAGTGTATACGCGTTGCAAGGGCAATAACAATGACAAAAGAAGCAGGACGATGCACTGACCACATAATTATTTAAAACAACGGTCAAGGACATACAAACAGACGGATAGATGGCCAAGCGATGCGGGTGTACAATTACTTAAATATTTTTGACAAAATTTAGCTCTTGTCTTGAGACACTATAAATTGAGTAAATGTAGCCGTATATAGTTCCAAGGTTGGCAAAATAAATGCAGGCTAATAAACTGAAGCACATTTTTAGCCGGCGCTTTTATGTCCTGTTGCCGCTAATTTTCGGAGCCAATACTATCCGCTTTATGCACGGAAGTCCATTCGCAGTTGGAGAGACAATTAAGTGCCAGACTGAAGAAGTGAACACCATAGACTGAAGAAGCCCCAGTTGCAGTGAGGCGGAACTGACACTGCGTTTAAATACCTTCGTGTCCGGCGCCATTTCCCTGGCCAATTCGAGCATGGGAAATGCAATAAACTTCTAAATCAGTCGATTAAGCGAGCTGCGAGTTGCGAACAATGCGAATTGCCACTAAAAGCATGCCCAGACTATTTCTACACACGCACACCCGCACACACACCAGCACACACACCAGCACACACACCCGCACATGCAGTCAAAAAAAGGAGTTGTGATAAATGTTTAGCAATTAAAATAAGTAGCAAGCGTACCACGTGGGAGTGGGTCGAGTCAGGGCATTTTCTTATCTTCGTGTGGATATTACTGTCAGCCCAAAGTACACGGACTCTAGGCTCTTTAATGAAAATAAAGACCGCCAATTGCGAACAAAAAATATGCCGCTTAACAAATGCCTTCTCTCTTTGCGTAATGATAGTGGCTGAAAATGTAAAATAGGCGAAAGGCTTAGATTAAGCATCTGGTTTGTTATATTTTATTCAGATTAAGCAGCTTATCTATTTATTTTATTTAATTTTATTTTTCTTTTGCCATAAACCAATTTCTGAACCCATAAAAATGGGAAAAGAATTCAATGATACATTTCAAGAAAAAAAACATTAACATTTATATATAATAAATTTTTCTGATACATTTCGACAAAATTGAGTCATACGCTTTTTTAAAAATTGTTGACTTTCCAATTGCAATATCTTTGGCCAAAATTATCCGATCTCCGGATTAAAAATGCTTTACAGGAGCACATTAAAGTTTAAAATACATATTTCTGGAGACTTTCGAAAAAGTATTTAACAGCCAAAAGGAAGTATGCCTGAGGCTATATGTTATATATAGATTACTAAGCGCAGATCAAGCTACTTTATTTTTATCGATAAATGCCTCCGATTTGCGAATATCGAATTGAATCAATCAATATCCGAACGCAATAAGTGAAACAATTTCAATTAACATATATTATTAATGAATTGTAAAAGTGTTAATAGGATTGGAAAATAAACACTGATTTTATTAACCAAAATCGTATTTTCATATTATGTGAACCAATGTTCAAAACAGCTTTGTGCAGAGTATCTCCTAGTTTCTCGACTAGCTTGGCCCTTTACGATTATTTCCGCACGCGGCATCTACTAAATAAAAATGAAATTGTTGCCAGGGGTGAGTTAATTAAGCAAGTGGTTTAATAATAATAACAACGGACTAACAAAGCAATAAAAAATATAGTATATTCCAATGGAGGAGATCAGAATTAGAATACTCAGCGGTCTCTATACACGACAATCTAAACTAAAATGGTACATAAGTAAATTAGGTTTATTCTGCAGCGAATTTTGTGAATTATGTAAATAATTATATTATTATTTAATAAATATATTCTTCAAGCTATATTTTTTATTGGTATTTCAAACTAGTGTCATTGATACAATATTTGAAGTCGGCTTAAGTACCTTGCACTCGTTTTCCAGATTAAATTTCGTTATATATTTGAATGAAGTTGGCCTTTATTTAGTGAAAGCACTTTTCATTGCCTTCCTTGGCAATACATTTTCGCGAATTGCGAAAATGGCATTTAAATGCCACACACACACTGATGACTATAACAGTTTATCTTTGTAATTAGATCTTGGCAACTGTATCTTTGAGCCGACATTCTGTTGATAGCTACGTTGCCAAGTGCTGCCAGAGTAGTTTACAATGTCAACTTTCAGTCATCGCCATCGGCAAAACAGCTTACTAAAATGGCAACACGTACTCTAGAAGCTAAAAACCAGAGGGAAACCAGACAAATACCGCATCCAAAACCGAAACCGAACTTTGGCCAAGACTAGCAAAACTTGGCTCATTAAAGATTAAGGCACATTAACGCCAAATGGTGTGGGGGACAGCAAATTTCAGCACCATCAGCATAAATATTTATGTAAATTGGGATTACAAGTATTTTGCATGTATTTTTGAGTAGAAACTTTAGCAGTGAACTCTTACTGTTCACCATCTTCTTAAATTGCCATTTAATTACTTTGAAGCTTGAAATGCAACTGCCCCAGAAGCGGGTTCTGTTGTCGGTCTCCTCAGAATAACCTTGTCATGGACCGAAATTTAAATGCTGTGAAGCGTGCGGTTAGCTGCATATTTTAACTTGCTTTTATTTTTATTTTTATTTTTTAGTTATCTCTGCAGCAGCTTTGTTTTTACATCTGCTGCATATAAGGCTGGTCAAAAGTATAGCTAAAATAAATACTTGTTACTGTGAGAGGCAAATATTATTTTGTTTGCTATATATAAAAAAAAATTCTATGAAAGTTGGCTAAACAAATGCCAAGTTCAGGTATGCAAAATGGGCAAGGCCAGCAGATATACACCATTTAAAAGGATGTTATACGAAGAGACTTGCTAACAATTTAACGAAATTTCAATTCAAATATTCGCGGCTAAAGATAACTCATTAATATGCATTGAATTTCCAAAAGTTTGAATGGGACTTTGATGCTTCGTAATATTTATTGGCCACATTGTTTCTTAATGAAATTAGACGCATTTCTGTGAAATTTCCAGCAAAAGATATATATAAATATATATGTCTATATACACGAACTTGGATGCTGTTGAAATTTCATTATTTTGTGTAAACAAAGGCACGTGTCAATTCTCGCCATTTAGTATGTCTAAGAGTACCCGACTATTTTGTTTGGCATTGGAGCATGCGCGGATAATATCTAAAGAGCGCGTCAACAATTCTTTATCCCTTTGGTGCAATTTCAAAATATGGGCGATTGCCGTAAATCGTTTTCATGCTCGTGTGTTTTATTCAATTATCAAAAATAATTTAAAATAATTTTACCACACAACCAAGCTATACACTTTTATTTGAGTGTATAAATATTTTGCCGGTTCGTGTTGCGTTGGTCACGTTGTAATCAGCAAAAGGTTTCGCCTAGTTGCGGTTATAAAGCCGCGCACGTGATCCGCATCCCGTATGCGAAAACGTTCGTCTAAATACAAATTTCTAATTTATGTAGTTTACGTTCGGATTTATAGGTATTTGTATATGATTTTTGCTGTAAATGTGCATACTTTCGTACACTTAGCAAAATATGCAACATTACTTTTAGAAAGATGCCCAACCACAAATTCAGGCAAATATATTATTCACGAGACAAGACGTTCAAAATTCATCTGTTGTAATAATTAAAGAGGATTCGAGACGGTTCATGCAAAAAATAATTAGTGGTACAATGCTTGAGAAGAAAAAGTAACGCAACGGTCCAGGCGGAACAGTGTAATTTGGCAAAGCAAGGGAACGCATACAAGAAATCATTTTTCCTAATATTAGAAACACTTAACTCGACAATGTCAAAAACATGGTGTTTTATATTTATTTTTTGTTGTTGAAATATTTTGTAATATTAAGCAATGCCAGACTAAAATGATTATTTTTAAATATCTTTTCTGATTCTGAATCTATCTTATCTAAAATGATTGTAAATTTGAAATCTTAAATTACTAATTTTGAATAATAATATATATGTAACAAAATATAAAATAATAAATAATATAAAAATTCTTCTAAGTACATACACAAAACAAACACCCTGCAAACACAAACACCTTGGCGCCAGATGTACGGCGAATCATTGCGATTTTTCCTGAGTGTATATTTATATACATATATATGGACCACAAACATATATATTTATATATTGATGGCTTTTTTAAGCCTTTGGGGCTTTGAGTAGAAGTGGCCGTGTGCTCATGCTGCTTATGCATTCAAGTGGGCAACGCTGCGTATGAGTAATATGCTCTTAATGCGTGCGCTAATTTAGCACCTCGAAAGTGGTCTTCAAACGAGTGCAGCTTACGACAATCCCGGCACTCATGTGTTGCGAAAGTGTATGCATTTTACATTCGAATTATTCATTTGTGTGCCATTTGTTGGGAGAGTGTTCTGTGTGAGCTCTTAATTAATCTATTAAACATATTAGGCTTGTAAGCTGCCGCTGCTGATGCTGCTGGGCCCCAGAGGCAAATCGCTGAAGTTGCGACTTTTTGTATTTAGCACAAAGTACGCCCAGTGGGCGTATCATCCTATTGCCTATTGTGACAAAGGCCAATCTCATAATCAGCATAATTTTCAAAGGCAAAACATACAACAGCAAATCTGAGATTTTCGTGCCGAGGTCGAGACATAAAGACAAAAGCCAGCAGTATTGTCCAGGCAAAGATCTGGCCCTGACTGCCACTTTGGCTTGGCTTGGGTTGCTTTTGCTCTTGCTTCTTCTAGCTTGCCAAAAAAACATCAGATCGAGATTATGCGCCAAGATAATTATTTGGCCTGGCGTGTCGTGG